ATGATTAGTTGCAATATGGAAGCTGAAACTGTATTGAACTTCTACCTACTTTGTTACTTTAAAATTCATGGGTCTGTTGTATACCTTGAATAGAGTTTTATCCATGCATGATTCTATTACCTCATGTACTGGTCAGCTGGAGAATACTGTTTCTCAAAGTTACAAAGTTCTTCCAAACTTTGCAACATTTCATTACACCATATTTAAAAACCACATTCATTAATATTACCACAAATGACATCAGTAAAGTCTTTAAGCATTAAGAAGCTGTCATGTGAAAATTTTATTTCTTTGTAATAAAAACAGTATTCCATAAAAAAAAGACTAGCTCAAGTGCTTTTCCTCCGACAAACATCACAGTACAATAAGCAGTTCTTATGTGTTTTCTTTTCTATTTAGTCTCTCAATTTTAAAATGATGTAGACTCAAAAGCAAGATTTAATAAAAATCAATAACTTTTACTGTTTCTTCAGGAACATTCTGAAACATAAATAGCATTTTTATTATTAATATATGATAGAGAATACAATGACTGCACTTACTGTCTGGCTTGGCATGTGTCTTATTCCATGTAAGGTGCTAATAATCAAAATACCTTAGGACTGGTTAATTTATAAACAACAGAAATTTCTTGCATCAATTCTGAAAGATGGGAAGTCCTAGACCAAGATGCTAGCAGATTTAGTATTTGGTGAGGTCTGTCCCTCATAGATTGCAGCTTCTATGTGTCCTCACATACTTAGAAGGGGTGAACAGACTCTCTCAAGCCTCTTTTATAAGGTTACTAATCTCATCCAAGAGCACATAGCCCTCAGGACCTACTCATCTCTCCACAGATAAGCCTCCACTTGGTATCACTTTTCAGCCTGAGTTTAGGGAACTCTGACATCCATTATTGCTTTTAGAAACATCAGTTCAAGTATCAATCAAGTGAGAAGGGCCAACTGAACTTTAGCATTATTACATAAACAGTTCTGAGCTTCCTGAAAAGGTCTTTGCAATGTCCAGAGGTCCACTGACCACACTCTGAGGACAACTATACCAGATGAACTCTTCCATGGTCACACAAGAGCCCATGGACAGGACACCAAAACGTCTTTCCTTTCCCTCTGACACTATCAATTTCTGGCACTCTCTACTGAGTCTTGCCTTTCAACATGCATTATTTTATCTATCCACCTACAAAGACCCTTCTATGACCTCCCTTTCCCCTCTGGTTGTGCCCCCCCTACTCTTCACCTTCCTTTTCAGCAATATTCTCCAAAAGAGGGCTTGGACTGGTAAGTAGGGGTAGGGGGAGAGGAGGAGGGCTATAGGTACATATGAATGAGATGTGAAATCAGTACCTAGTCATTAATCAACCCTTCCTGGAATTAAAAAGAAAAATGAAGCCCAGGCATCTGACGCTCCTGAAGATCTGCTAATACATCAGCAACATAACACCAACCTTTTAAAAATTCTTTTTAATTTACTCCTTGTAGACAGTGTCTAGCCACCACATTGCACGCACCCCCCTATGATTTCAGACATCAAATATTAACACGAAGTGAGTAATGCAAAAAGAAAGGGGGTTAATCAGACATCTTGAGAGAAAGAAAAAGAAAATAACACTGATTCAATGAGAGCTGTTAATGAGGCTTTTTGTTTTGGTAGATTAATTTGGGAGTCTGATGACTACGATGAACATTTAAGCTTCTCAGGTGACTGCTGTTGATTATTATGGAGTTTTTTTTTTAATTAAAGAGATTCCTTTACATAATCCTATACTTTATGAATTTCAGGTGTTTACCTAGAATCTGTGTCCACCCTAATAGCGCAGGAAACTTTCCTCATTAGCAAATTGAAAGCCCTCCTCTTACTGATTCCGGATTGTACCTGACAGATGATGAGCGTTTCAGGCTGTGAATGGCTGATGTTTAAATACATTACCCTAATACTCTTTAAGCACTGCCAACTGTAAACCTCATTAACTCCCAGCGTGTGGCCAAGGCCTGGATTTCTTCACTACAGCCTCACAAAGTGAAAACAGGTATATAAAAATGATTTTATCATCAACATTATTATATCCTCCTTCACCTTGTGAAGTATTTAAAAGGCTTTTTCCCCCCTCAGAAGGAGAAACAGCAAATGTGGGAAAAGTAGAAAATGCACTTTACTTATACAGGGCACACATTTTCAAACTCTAGATTTCTGTGTTACTTTTTCGTTTTTGGCACCCTTATTCCTCAGACATCAAGACAAGAACTGTCCCAGGGCTGACTCAATGCACTCCGAACAGAAAGGAATTATTTCTGGATGCTGATTATATTGCTATTATTTGGATTCAACAAAATGGGGGGCTGACAAGGCAGTAAATTGGACCTGTCAGTCTAACAAATCAGGACATCTGACATTCCCTTTTATAAGAGCCAACTTTTGGTCTCATAGAATGCATGCTCTCACAGGGCACAAAGGGATTCCACACCAGAGATAGAAAACAGACAGTTGGCCTTCTGTATCCATGATTCAACCAGCCACAGATAGAAAATATTCAGAAAAAACATTCCATCTCTACTAAACATGCACTTTTTTTCTTGTCATTACTCCCTAAACAATACAGCATAACAACTATTTACACAGCATTTCCATTATACTAAGTATTATTAGGCAATGTAAAGATGATGTGAAGAACAGTGGAAGATATGCATAGCCTACATGCAAATACTACAGCATTTTACATAAGGGACTTGAGCATGGGAAGATTTTGGCATTAGCAGGAGCCTGTGGGGTTGGGAATCAGTTCCCCAAGGGTACATGGTAAATGCAGATGTGTTCTTAGAACCCAAGTAGATTCTTCAGCCACCCCATACTCCCAGACAGACCAAACACTCAACATCTCCAGCCGATTCTCAGCCCACTTCTTCTTCCCAGGAAATTGGACACTAGTAAAAACAGGATTTTAGCCCTAGCTCCTTATGAGATGAGTTACTAACAATAACCAAAGAATGTTTGCAAAGCTCAAAGGTCCTTACATAAATTTTTTCACCTTGCGCTTCATCTATAAGATGTGTGAACAATGTATAAAAGTTACACTTGGATGATACACAAAGCTTCATTCCCACTTTACATGAAAACCAGAGTCATGACCAAATCTAAAAGACATTTCAAAACTTACACAACAAATCATATAGCAAGCAGAAAGTTCATACCATTTAGTTACATGGTTCCCTGTCACAAGACGGTCTGAGCCCTAAAAGCCCTTGGCAACCCACCTCCTGCTGCTCCTAAGCTGCCAAGTCAAGGCCTCCCCACTCAAGTACCCACCAAACAAAAGGCTTGCAGCCCTGGACATGCAAAATCTCTCCTGGTCTCCTCAAAGAACTTCACAAAATGATTGCACTCATCACTAAATCACCTAAGACAATGCAATGCAGGGAAGTCTAAACACAACAAAGAATGCTAACAGGATCGCACTGTCACAGGCAAATCATGCCAATGCCCACATTCAAATTAGCCTTTGCTGGCTCTCCTCTGCTTTAAGATAAACACTCCCAATCCTTACCATGCCACACAGCCCTTATGTGGTCTGGCCATGGCCCACCTCACACCACCACACCCTGGCCCTCACACTCCAGGCGTGCCAGCCTCTGCCTTTCACAAAGCAACACTTCTGTGACCGCTATTTCTTCTGCCTGGGTTGTGCTGTCCTCTGAATTCCCCCTCCACTCCTACAGCTCAAATTTCAACCAAAGTTTCCCCTGACCTCTCAATGTAAATGATACCCTACTTATTTTTTCGTATGTCTTTCTTTGTGTGTTCACATGGCCTCATGCTCCTCCCGGTGTCTTTTCAAGTACCCCTTTAATAATGATAATCTAGGGTAATCTCTTCGTCACCACATTCATTCACATTCATTTGTGGTTCTCTGATAAACACCTGTCTGCTCCAAATTAGAAGCTCCAAGAGGGCAAACACTGTGCTTTCTCCACTTGCCATGTTATCCTTAATATTCACAATGGTGCCAGGCACAGAGACAAGGCTCTCAAACAGCAGATGAATGACTGCTGGACAGTACCAAGCAAGAAGCTCCCAGCATGAAAGGCTAAACAAGTCACTACCATATGAATCATTAAAGTAGCAACAAGAGGACTCCAGAAAACAGGATACTTTGACCAACAAGCTGGAAATGTTAAGGCTGAGTTTATGCAGTGTATAGGCACTTAACTTTCCTGCCCATAGTTCAGCTGAAACCTTCAAATACATGAATTTTTCAGGAAAGACCATGTCCTCATGGAGACAGTTTACAGGCTGGAAAATGTCAGATTGGGTCAAAAGTTACCACTGATAAAAGGTTTTTTTGCATCAAAATGGTCCTTGACCAAAGAAAACTTCTTTCTAATTCCCTCCAAAAATTAACTCCATGTTTGCATTTGTTTTCTACAACTGCTATAATAAATTATAACAAGGAAATAAAATCAGCATATCAAAGAGATGTCTGCACACCCACTTTCACTTCCTTATTCACATTATCCAAGATATGAAATCAACCTAAGTGCCCATCAACACAAAAAGTGTATTTTTTTTTCAAAGTGGTATATATACATAATAGAATACTATCCAGCCATAAAAAAGATGGAAATTTTGTTATTTGTGAAACATGGATGAACCCAGAAGATGTGATGTTCATCTAAATAAATAGGCACAGAAAGACAAATATGCTCTCACTTGCACATGAAATCTTAAAAAGTCAAACTCAGATTCTGCAATCTCAGCACTCAGGAGGCTGAGGCAGGAAGACAGTGAGTTTGAGGCTAGCCTACATTGCAAGACCCTGTCAAACTCACAGCAGCAGAAAATGGTGGTTACAGGCCTGGCATGGGGAAGGGAGTATTAAAAAGATATTGGTCAGAGAACACAAAAATTCAGACAGAAAGAATAGGCTGGGGAGATTTTTTTTTTTTTTTTGTGCAACATAGTGACTATAGTAATAACATTGCATTGTATACTTGAAAATTCCCAGCACACATAAAAAAGTTTGTAAGGTAATGAATATGTTTATTAGTCTGAGCAGGGCACTGGCAGTTCACACCTGCAATCCTAGGAGGTAGAGATTGGAAGAATCATAGTTCAAAGCCATCCTAGGGAAATAGTTTGAGAGGTCCTATCTCAAAAATACCTAATACAAAAAAAGGCTGGGGGAGTGACTCACATGGTAACTTGCCTGCCTAATAAGTCCTAATAAGGACTTGAGTTCAAACCCCATACCACCATAAAAAGAATATGTTGATTAGTTTGAATTAAGCCATTCCACAATGTATACATATCTCAAAATATGTTGCATAGCATAGTATATACAATTTTTATCAAAAAAAATAATAAATTAACACAAATTTGGTGCCTTAACACAGCAAGAATATATTCTAGCACAGCTCTGGAAACCAGAAGTTACACGCCAAGGCGTCAGCAAAGCCAGAGACTCCCTCCAAGGCTCTGTGTTTCTTCCAGATCCTGGTGGCTCCAGGCACTCCTTAGCTTGTGGCCACATCAGTCCAGTCTCCACCTCTGTGGTCACATTGCCTCCTCCTATCCCTCCCCTGTGTCTGAGTCAAATTCCCCCCTGCTTTTACCTGATAATGGAACTTGTGATGGAATTTAGGGCCCACCCAGATAAGACAGGGTAATCTTTTCATCCCAAAATTCTTAATATCATTTTCAAAGATTCTTCTTTCAAATAAGGCAAGATTTATGACTTCTGGGGAGGGGAGGAGGGCTTAGGCAGAGAAAATCCAATGGTATTTTACAAAGTGTCTATGCAGTGTAGTCTCTCTCCTCCACACTGTAGAATGCCTTTCATGGTGGTTTGGAATCACCACATTATCCTGTCTTCTAAATCTAATCCCTCAATCTTTTGTGGAATTTTAAAGGTGACTGGGACAGAGGAAAGGATTATTAAAAAGCTCCATCCACATAGCTATGCTTAAATTTACTCGCAATTTTACAGCTACCTTGAAAAATACCAACATAACATTCAAATCTTCACAGCACCGATTATACAAGCTTTATCACACTATAAAGAGGCCTTTACACTAGTCAAAAAATAAACATAGTATGAAATCCAACTGTGAAATGACCACTGAAAGGAAATATTAAGGGTACTATTTCTAAAATAATGTCTTCATAGTAACAGGTAGAGAAAAAATGCTTTGAGGAGACAGGAAGATTTATATTAATGACTTCTGATCACTGAGCCAAAGAAGATGGTTTGGAATAAAAAAAAAATCAAATAAGATAACTAAAAGTGAACATACCCATCTTTGGTCTGATCCACCACGCCACTTAAAAGTTCCACAGTCTTTGGATTGGGTTGGCTTTCTCCAAAGATATTCAAATATCGAGTGACAAAGTCATTGGGAGACATAAAAAATTCGCCATTTCTTTCAATGCTTGCATACTGTTAAAAAAAGGTGGGGGGAGAAATGTTATTTTATATATTTGACTCTCAAAAGTATATAATCATAGGATCGGTATGTGAAAAAGCTGAAAATATTCAAAGGATAAAATATCAGATATGGTAATGCATTTTTCACAAACAGCAGCTCCCATCACTTCAAGGAAAAAACAAAACCATATTAAGCCTGTCAAATCTTATGCTTATAATCGTTCTCAACAATGGGCAATTTTTCCCCACAGGGGACATTCAGAAACGTCTGATGACAATTTTGCTTGTGTAAGTTGGGGGAATGGGATGCCACAGGCATGAATGGATGACCCCTTACAACAGAGCTATCAAACCCAAATGTGAAGTTGGGAAACCCTGGTTTGCAGAAATTTAGGAAGGCAAACTTTTTTTTTTTTCTGAGACAGGGTCTCATTATTTAGTCCCAACTGGCCTTGAATTTACTGTGTAACCCTGATTGGCCTGGAACTCTTGCTCCTCTTACCCCAGCCTCACAAATCCTGGGATTACAGACATGCATCACTATGCTCAGCAACATATACCATCTCTAAAAGGTGAAATTTTGAAGCATTAAGTAAACTATGTGGGAGGCAGTAGGATGACAAGGTTTAAGTACCTTGGCTTCCTAAAAAAGCAAACCCAAGCCCAACTCAAATGTAAATAGTGAAACAAAAATTAAGTTTAAACAACCTAGAACCGTCAAACTTACCTCTAACTAGGGAATTTCCACTTTAACAATTCAAATATATTTCCTTATCTTGATTCACCAAATACTTCATAAAAATTTGCTCACATGTGTTCCTCCTCCCACTCCCCCACAATACTACTGATTAAACTCAGAGTCTCATGCTTGCTCTACCACTTAGGCTGTGCCCTCCCACCTCCAGCCTTTTGGTTTTTATCTGTTTTTCAGGTAGGGTTTGGAGCTATTACCCAGGCAGGTCTCAGGCAGTGATTTTCCTATCTCCACCTCTGTGGGAAGTGGAGTATGAGAAGCCTATGAGGACATAAGCACAGTTGTACTCAATATTGTGCAGGCTGAGTTTGGCACAGCCCCAGCCACAGAAAAGGGTGAGAGTAAGATGCAGAGCAGCTGCTTTTCCTAAGATGTTTATGTCAAATAATCTGGAGGCTGAGATTTGGCACAGCCCAACTGTAGAAGAGAGAGAGAAAGCGAGATGCAGCTCAGCTGCTTTTCCTAAGTTGTTTTAACGCAGGTTTCTCCTGTTACAATCTCACACCCCTCCCCGAGAACCATTGCTCCACCTCCTTGTTTACCACTGGATATAAAAGACTCCTTGAAGGAGGACATGAGGCTTTTGGATGGGGGAGGCTTTTTGATGGGGGGTTTTGGCTGAAGGAAATTGCTGGAAGGAGAATTGCTGGAAGGAGGATTGCTGAAGGGAAAAGAATTGCTAAGAAATCTAAAGAGAGAACATGGGACAGTGCAAGTCTGCACTGAGAACTTTATACACAGGCTTTAGAAAAGCTAAGCTAAAAAAAAGCTAAAGACAACATGGGACAGTGCAAGTCTGATGGGACAGTGCAAGTCTGAGGGCAAAGACTTTAAGAGAGATTATGCTAAAGAAAACATGGGACAGAGCGAGTCTAAGGAAAGAGACTTTAAAGAACAGAAAAGAAGACTTTTAGGTTTTAAAGAACTGTAAAGGAGCAAGGCCTTAAAGAATAATGATAGAGAAAGGAAGCAGAGTAAAGTGAAGTAAAAAAGCAATGAGTCTGTTGTGCATCTCCATCCCGGAACCCAACACACCTGGTCCCAAGTTTATGCATGTCTGTCAGTCTATCCTGTGTCCTTTCTGCATTTCCCATAGCCTCCAGTCAGGCCCAGTTAGGTTCAGTAGTAACAGGAGTGAGAAAAAGCTTGCTCCATACCTCCTGACTGGCTGGGATTGCAGATGTGAGCCACTGCACCCAGCACCTCCTCACATGCTTTTGATGGAGCCTTTAACCAATTCATGAATGGCTGAATGTTCAAATAACTCACTAAAATTTTTATGTGGCTAGGTTTATCTTTTAACAGAAGTCATAGAGGTTTAAGAGAAAAGGTAATAAACTAAGCTGGAAAGCAAACTCTGAGTCACATGGCATCTTGGAGTGTGGACTCCTGCCCTAGTCAATATCCTCTTAACTCTAAAGCATTACAGAGATGGACATTAAAAGTGAGGTGCCCCTCACAGCACCTTTAGAGGACACATTCCAGCTTGGATAAGAGAGAACAGGCTGAGTCCCATTCTATGGGATCCTAAGGGCTGTGGGAAATAACTGAGAACGGCATGGAGATCATGTGACATCTTTATGGAGTGGGAGCAGGAAACAGTGAGGGAAGGGGAGGACAAAACAGATACAAGAACAGGGCAAGCTGTGTGACAGGAACCACATGACAGCCAGATTGATGAGGGTAACACAATGAAGTGACGTGCAAGGACAGCAATTCTCCATCCTCTGTAACCCTAGAGTTAAAACTAGGGTTTTCCAAAGTCACTTGCACTTTAATTCCAACACAGACAAAGCCCCTGCTTTGGGGTCTCTTGAGCCTGGGCTGTGCCTCTTACCACCTGAATGGCCTTGGGTGAGTAACTAAAGTTTTCTTGACCTCTGATTCTTCTCCTGCAAAATGGGCATAACATGAGCAGCTCCATTAGGCTAATGCTTGAAATAAATGAGACAGCAATAAGACACACTTAACACAATGCCCTACATACAATAAGCAGTTCCTAAAGTTCTATATTATGGTGGGCTTTCTCCTCTGTCCCACTGCATGAAGCTGCCATTGGTACAGTACCAGGCCAAGGGTGCAATCAAGAGTTTTCTTGGCACCTGCTATCAATCCTGTCCCCACCATCTAGAGGAAGCCCTGTGGAAATACTAGGGTATAACTGCATTCAGTTAATGTTTTAGCATAGTCCAAGAAAGAGATGGCTCAGTAATTCCACCATTCTTCATTTGGCATTTAATTTAATTTGGAGGGCATACAGAAGAAAGAACATATTTTGATTTTCCTAATGAGGCAAAACAAACTTGAAATGTAAAGGCTATGTCAACATTAGGTACAGCCATCCTATAATTTAGAGTCACACTTATGTTTCCTTATGATAATTATTAATTTATTTTAAAGTGCAATTTAACTTCTTCCTACCAGTAGACGTTTGGATTGTATCCAGCTTCAGGTATTTTAACTAAACCTAAAGTAACCATTTTTGTATACAATATTTATTCAAATTCCTAGCAATTTTCAAAGACTAGACTCCCGAAAAAGGAACTGTTGAGTCAAAGGAGAGGAATTTTTAAGGCTGCTGGTACTTATTATCACACTGCTCTCTAGAAAAGACTGTACCAATTTCCACTCCCACCAGCGGTGTAAGAACATTCCTCTTCCTTTCCTTTGTCTATCATATTTGTTGCAAATATTTTTCCAGTTTGATATTTTTATATAATTGAGTCTGTAGATATTTTTCCTTTGTAATTTCTTCCATTACTTTTCTAAGCTTATAAAACAGTCCTTCTTCATCTTAAGACTAAATAGTCACACCCTGCCCTTCTTAGCTTTTTAAAGTGGGTCGATCTTTAAGTTTTAGTGCATCAGTCCTTTATTTCTGTGTGGTCTGAGGTAAGGATCCTCCAACTTTAGTTTTTCCACTTAATCTATTGATTCTTCAAGGATCACAGGTTAAATCATTCTTCCTTCCTTAACCTTTAGAATGCATTTAATTTCATTAAACTATCATACGGTCACCAAGAAAAACCTTGCCAAAGAAGTTCTACCCTCAGTACCAGATCTTATGAGCTGGCAATGGTCTCCTAGGGTCAACATGTATAAGACTACTTGAAACTGCATAGGAGAATGCTGGGATGGACTGACATCACCACACTGGGAAATGTTTCAGAACTAACCTTTCCAATTGACCTGTCTACTATTTGAAGATTACTTGCATCTTACTTGCTATGATTAGAGAAGGCTCTGTCAGGACAGGATTTTTTTCCTTGTAACTTTCACTGCTGTGTCCTCAGATTCCAAGACTAGTGCCTGGCAGATGGTGCAGCATATTCAATAAGTATTATTCAAATTAATGAAAGTTTCAAAAAAATGCTGTATTACTTTACTCTTGGAAGTTTTGCTGGCCTGATGTTCACCTTTTGATTTTTCCCAAATGACCTATAGAATCACTGTCAAGTTGCAGCCCTCTTTAAAAAATTCCATTGAAAATGTAAAATAAAACTATAATGAAATACCACTACTCACCCACAAGATAATGAAGAAAAACAAATGCTGGTGAAAACATGGAACAAATACTCTCACACACTAGTGGTATAAGAATAAACTGGTAAACCATTTTAGAAAACTGCAAGACAACATCTATTGTAACTGAACGCAATACACATACCCATAGTCTCAGAAATTCCAATCATAAGTAAACCAAAAAAATGTGTGGTGTGAGTATGTGTGTATAACACCAAAACATATGCTATGGTATCCACAGCAGCATTATCTGTAATAGCAAAAGTACTAAAAATAACTACCAACCAACAGCAGGACACATAAATGGATTATAGTGTAGTCACACAATACAGTACAACACAGAAACAAGAATAAACTAACTCCAGCTGCACATGACAACATAGATGAAGCTTGACATATAACAGTGAAAGTAAGAGAAACTAGACAGAGCTGGGGGTGTAGCTCAGAGGTAGAGTATTTACCTAGTATGAGTGTGGCCCTGCGTTTGATCCTTAGCAATGCCAAGGGGGGAGAAAAACACAAAAGAATATAACTGTATAATTACATTTTAAAAAGTCGAATAACAGGCAGAAGAACTAAGGTACAGAGAGAGGAGTCAGACAACTAGTTACCCTTGGGAAGTGTGGGTACTGACTGGAAGAGAAGCCAGAGTCCTTCTGGGGTGCTGGTTTCATGAGCATGTTCACTTTGTAACCATCCCTGGACCGGTGTGTTTGTGATCTGCGCATTTGATTTA